CCGAGGCGTAGCTGGCAAGCGGCAGAGACGGAGCAGGCCGACCACCAGCTGGCCCAGCCCAAGGGAGGTAAGGCACCCGCCGGAAAAGGGGAAAAAATGGCGGACAAAAAAAATGGCGGACAGCCTTGCTTGGCGACCCCCATGAAATGGTCGATCGACCCCAAATGGGGTCCCGACCCACAGGTTGAGAACCACTGTCATAGGGCAACGTTTTCATTGCTAAAACCCGTTGTTCTTATGACTTCAAACACACACCTTTGTTGCAACCTAAAGGTCTCTGGAGACTCTCCGTCATCCAGGTCATGGTTGTCCCAAAGGTGCTTTTTCAAGAGGCAACTGGACTTCCTTTGTTTTTCTTTGAAGATGTAATAATAATAATGATGATGATGATGATGATGATGATGATGATGATGATGATGATGATAAAGTTGGAAGGGACTTTGGAGGTCATCTAGTCCAACCCCCTGCTCAGGCAGGAAACCCTATACCATTTCGGACAAATGGCTGTCCAGTCTCTTCTTAAAAACTTCCAGTGTTGGAGCATTCACCGCTTCTGGAGGCAGGTTGTTCCACTGGTTAATTGTTCTAACGGTCAGCTAAGTTTCTCCTTAGTTCTAGGTTGCTTCTCTCCTTGGTTAGTTTCCATCCGTTGCTTCTTGTGCTGCCGTCAGGCGCTTTGGAGAATAGCTTGACTCCCTCTTCTTTGGGGCAGCCCCTGAGATATTGGAACACTGCTATCATGTCCCCCCTCGTCCTTCTCTTCGTTAAACTAGACATACCCAGTTCCAGCAGCCGTTCCTTATATGTTTTAGCCTCCAGTCCCCTGATCCTCTTTGTTGCTCTTCTCTGTACTCTTTCTAGAGTCTCAACATGTTTTGCTTCTCATCTAAGAAGTTGAAGAGACTTCTTGGATGAGAAGTAAAGCATCTTCAGAGAAAAACAAGAAAGTCCAGTTCCCTCCTGAAAAAGCACCTTTAGGGTTGCAACCTAAACCAAGATCTTGGACTGTAAAATTGTGTCCTGGGGAAACTCCCTTGGAATCACAGAATCATGGATTCCTAGGGCTGGAAGCAGTGGTGGGATTCAACCGGTTCGCACCACTTTGTCAGAACCGGTAGCTAATTTTTTTTTTGTTGCCCAGACCCAGAATGGATCTCCGGAAGCGGCATCCACACAAGAGAACCGGTTATTCACATATTTGAATCCCACCACTGGCTGGAAGGGACCTTGGAGGTCTTCCAGGAGGCCCAAAGAAGGAGGGATTCAATCTTTGCACTTAGCAAAGATTGAATCCCAAATAAAGATAGAGAACTTTTATTTCACAAGTTGTCCACCACCTTAAAAAAAGAAAAAAACTTTGTTAAAAAAAACACTTTTAAATCATGGGTTTTCATGACTGTCATGTTCTGTATAACCACCAGTCTGAAATTCTATGGAGGACTCCCCTGTTGAACAGTTGAAAGTCAACATAATCTTTGTGTTCCAACATGTGAGGTTTTAACACACACCTATATACTGTATATTTGTGAGTGTATGTATGTGTAGCCTCTTTTATTCCTATCTATCTATCTGGGATCTAACCTTCTCTGTCGAAGTTAAATATTTTATTCCAAAATTAAACCCTCTCTCTTGGATCTAACTTTCTCTGTCAAAATTAAATATTTATTCCTAAATTAGACCCTCTCTCTTGGATCTAACCTTTTCTGTCAAACTTAAATATTTGTTCCAAAATTGCTTTGCTGGAGTCCAGCAATCGTGAGGACACCAATTATTATTATTTCTTTTTTTTAATATCATGGGCACTTCATAATATGAGCAAAATTAAGTAATTATATCTGTGTCCTTGTGATCATGCACCATCCTTTTACAAGGAAAATTCTTTGAAACAGAGAAGTAATATCCTCCAGATCACAGCGTGCCCACGAATAAAGAGATTTTGGAACAGGGAAAATGCATTATGCCCGTGAGTCAGAAGGAAAGGAGGGGAAAAAAAACAAAACAAAACATAATATCTAAAAGTTCAGTTTTCAAGGATGTTTGAAGCCACCGTGGAAGTGTGCCATGGCTGTGCAGAGAAAGCCAGCACAGACTGTCCTATTTTTATTTTTTAAGATAGAAATTGTGTGTGAAAGCACAATCACTGCAGCTCGGAAAAAGCAGCCCTTGGTTTTATGTTAATTGTGAGAGCATTTGCATTAGAACGGCTCTGATCTGGAACGAGCAGTATGTGTAATGAGAGAGAGAGAGAGAGGGAGAGAGAAAGTAAAATCAAAGATGGAAACTATTCTCAGGAGGGGAGAAAGAGAAAAAGAAAAGATCTTATGTCTAAGAGGCCCCTTCCTCAAAAGAGGAGACTTACTTTAGCATCATCAAAGCAGGCGTCGGGTCCTTTTCTGTACCTGGGGTGTTGAACCATTTCACAGGGATTGGGTCCTTCATCTGCCCCTTGATTAAGGAACACAACACAACCTTCCTCTTCACTTATATAACAGAACGAGGTGAAGAGGGAGAGAAGAGCTTTTTGCTATCTGAGCAAAGAACAAGATGGCCCACCCCGTCCCAGGTTCCGTAAGCCAACCAATCCTGGAGCTCCAACTGAACGTGTCCGTTTTGATGACAACGTCGTTCAACCTTGGTGACCACTAGCTTTGGAGCCAGCAATCTGTTGGGGCTTTATCTCTACCGTCTAATGCTCCCTCTTGTTGTGATAAGGCTGGACGTGTATTTGAGGTAGGCTTAGAAGGCTACCTCATTGAGTCCAAGAGGCTTATGGGGTGGGAGCGGATTGTGTGACCTAATCCTTCATCATCTTCATTATCCTGTAGTAGAAGGCATACTGGTGAATTGTCTTGTCGTGTGTGTAGAGAAAGGTTGGGGACCAAAAGATCAAGGGGAAAAAAAATGATAATATGGAGAATATATTGGACGTGAGCTGAGGATAAGATACTGTAATGCTGATATCATTTAAAAGAGAGAGAGAGAGAGGCAAGAATTATTATACATAGAAAGAGTAAATCGCTTAACTGGTTTTGTTTTATTTATTTATTTCGTTCTGCCTTTATCATTTTTATAAATACCTTAAGGTGGCAAACATTTCTAATACCTCCTCCTATTTCCCCACAACAAGAACCCTGTGAGATGGGTTGGGCTGAGAGAGTGACTGGCCCAAACTACTCAGCTATCTTTCATGCTAAGGTGATACTAGAACTCTCTGTCTCCTGGTGAATGCCTCAAAGTCACCCAGCTGGCTTTGGTGCCTAAGTGGGACTAGATCTCATCATCTTCTGGTGATTGGCCCAAAATCACCCAACTGGCTTTTGCGTCTAAGGTGGGACTAGATCTCACTGTTTCCTGGTGATTGACCCAAAATCACCCAACCAGATTTTGTCTCTAAGGTGGACCTAGAATTCACTGCTTCCTGGTGATTGGCCCAAAATCACCCAACCGGCTTTTGTGTCGAAGGTGGGACTAGAACTCACTGTTTCCTGGTGATTGGCCCAAAATCACCCAACCGGCTTTTGTGTCTAAGGTGGAACTAGAACTCACCGTGTCTTGGTGAATGGCCCTAAGTCACCCAGCTGGCTTCCATGCCTAGGCAGGACTAGAACTCACAGATTCCTGGTTTCTAGCCTGGTGCCTTCACCACTAGACCAAAATGGTTTTTTAAAAAATAAAATAAAATTAGTGATATTGTTCTAAAGCTATGGTGAAGTTTATCCTGGAGAAGGTCTATTTCTGTCTACATGCTAAAAATCAATGCTGACTTAATGGAACACAATCAATGGACCGGTCAATGGTAATGAACATATTAAGACTGCACAGAAAGAAGGCTGGTGTGGAATAACATAACATCACACCCACACACAGACCCAAAACAACTACTGATCCAGGTTATAGTTTAGAATCAGATTCTCCAGCTGTTTCCAATATTCTTTTGTAAGCAAATACACAACCAGTCTCAAGCCAAGTAGGAAAGGATACCAGGCTTCTCTGCTTGCATCAACGGCCTCGCATCACAGTGATGACACAACTCTTTACTGTCGCTCATGATGAAAACCAAATTGGTGTTGGAAATCTTCTCTGCGTGAAAAAGCCTGAGAAGAAAAGTCAAAATGACACCGAGGAGTTAAAAGCTGAGATCCAGGAAACAAGTCTTGCCCTCATTCTTCCAGGAAATGTCAGTATTAACGTACGAACAAAGATTCGTTCAAATATTGTCTGGAATAGCCGCAATAGTGATTTGGCACAGTTGTGTGATGGAAATGCAGTCTGGATTCCAGAGTGTTTCCAGGGGAAGCAGAAGGCAACTCAGCTGAGAGAGTTTGTGTGAGAGAAAGAGGGTGAAGATGGTTCCTCCTCAACAGTTCCCAGAGTATACGCTTTATGGAAATGTTAGCATGCTTTAGTTTGGCAAGATTCTGTCTTTAGGTGAGGAACAATCATTTAAAAAAAAAATTGCTTGGAAGAATCACAGTGTGTCTTTCTTGGTTTATGGAGCCTGGCACGTTATTTCTAAGAGCGAAGAAGGTTCATGAAGCAACTGACACCGTTCTGCTTCAGTTGCAATCCTATGAAAAGCATCATGCTGACCCTTGCAAGGAATATGGCTACCTTCATGCTTGAAGCGATGCGCTTCTCACACCTTCTATTCCATAATGTTCCATAATAAGGACTGCAAAACACATGCTATTGAAATACACATAAATTGTGCAGAATTTCAGATTTGATCTTCAAAAGAGCACGTACAGTAGTGGCCAAAATGGTGGAAACCTTTTGGGAAAAGTGTACAGTAGAAATGCCACCTTTGGTTCAGTTTCCACCCATTTTTCTTCTAATTTTTTTTACAACTGTAGCCTTGGTCACTTAATAATACTATTTTACATCGCTTTCTGGGCAACTAGTCAACTCTTTGCACCATTACTTTAATTTTATTACTTTACTTTACTTTACTTTATTTTTGATTTATATCCCGCCCTTCTCCCAACGGGACTCAGGGCGGCTCACAACATATTTAAAAACAGAAACATATTTACAATCCCCACCGAATAAAACCAATTAAAACCAAATATTTTAGAGTTGTGCTGTTTAAAATTTTCTAAAAAAGTGAACCCGATTTAAAATCCTCCCTA